AACATACATCTCAGGTAAACAGGTAATATATATATATATATATATATATATATATATATATATATATATATATATACAAAGCACATAATTTATATAAAATATTTCATATCTATGTGTAAGATGGAAGTGACCATGCACTCAATTGATAAGGGAGTGATTCGGACAACACTTCGCTTCTTAAAATAATCTTCTTTGATGAAACCGGGAGGTTTGCTTGAAAACCGGGCTCTGTGCGGGCAGAGTTTTAAACCGAAATACTCTTTTTCTCGGAGCCTTCTAGCGCTCCGGGGATTTCTTCAAGTGCTAGGGAAGTTTACTAGGCTTTTGGGGGTGTTTTGGGTGGTTTATAGAGTGTGTAGAGAGAGAAAGAAGTGGGGAAGGAGTGAAGGATGAAGGCTGGCCTCGGTTGGTATTTATAGGCTGAAAATGGGGTGAACTCGTCGAGTTTCTGGCCCAACTCGTCGAGTTTCTGACCCCCAACTCGCCGAGTTGCTGGTCCAACTCATCGAGTCGGTGCCACGTTTTGTCATCTGGTGCGGAGAAAGCAATGGCTCAGATTGCGTCACGTCACCCATTTCGCTGCAGCACCCTGCCGACTTCTAAACCCCGTAACTTTCGCATACGAGCTCCGTTTTCGACGTTCTTTATATCCACGGGTAGGTGGGAGCATTCTCTACAACTTTTATTTAGACTCCATCGACTAATTATCAACCGATTTTAAATTTAACAGTTTGAGAATATTACACTGCTAAACGACCGTGTAGAATTCATAACTTCTACATACGGACTCCGTTTTCGACTGTCTTTTTATCGTTGAACTCCTATTAATGAGATCTTCAATTCTAATTTAGGTTGTGTAGGCTAAAAATCGCTCGATCTAAAATTCGAACTTCGGGTTGTGCATTGTCGATCTGAAACTTAGAAAAATCATAACTTCCTCATACGAAGTCAGATTTGGGCGTTCTTTTTATGCATGCTCTCGGTTTAACGAACAATTCGACTTTCGTTTAGATCGCTAGGGCTAAAAAGTCCTCTATCATAAATTCACTATTTACATCACGCAGTGTCGTGCCGGTTGTGTCGCGAAACTTCGACAGACCATAACTTCTTCGTTATAACTCGAATTTCGACGTTCCTTATATCTCCGGAATCGTTGTCACGACCACTACAAATTTTATTCATAGATATCGGGTTTATCTAACATTTTATTTTTGATGCTTATTTTTATCCTTTATTTATTATATTATTATAAACAAGTAATAAGCACACAAAAGCACATAATTCACATAATATTCAAATAATTCATCTTTATTACTTTAAAATTGGTTACAACGGTTGAACTAGACTATTACATCATCGCATCAATGCTTAGTCTCGAAACACGGGCGTTACACACAGGAGGGAAGGATAGTAGGATACGACATATTAAAGTTGTAGGTTGGAGGCACAACTTGAGATTCCAAGTAGCCCCGCCTCTTTTGGTGCTTCTTCTCACTTCTGGAGATGTGTCTCGTGGGTGGTCGTCTTCATTCCTTCAACCTTTGGCCAGCCCGTAAGAGTATAACATTAAAAAAAAATATGGGCCCCTAAAAATATTGGCCCTGTGTAAATGCACAGGTTGCCGATGCTCTAAACCGGCCATGGTAATGAGAAAGGAAATGAAAGAACATAAACACATTTAACAAGCTTCGCAGGACACTCGGTATCGCCACTAGGAGTAGTATCGTTAGTATTAACCTTGCAGGACCATCATACATATGAAAAAAAACACACAAACATAAAATTTTACAATCATCCAATGCAGCCGCTTATACGATCCATGACCTAATCAGGTTTTTGGAAGAAGTGCCATGAAAAGATCCAGTGCAGCCGCTTATACGATCCATGACCTAATCAGGTTTAAAACACCAATATGATATGGGACTATTTGTAGCGAACCACTAGTAATACCATCTTAACGCTGATAGTTGAAGAAGGTACCCGGACAACGAAAGAACAAACAGGCAATCTAGACAAGTCGAAAACCATCGTGATAAATAGCGCATACCCGGACCAAGGAATCCGCACCAGATGTACATTACCAACCTCACTTCGAGAAAACTTGGTTAACTTGTTAAGAGAATATGTTAATGTATTCTACTAGAAACCAACATACATGGTCGGAGTACCAAGACAAATGATTGAGTACAAACTCAATGACATGCCAATAACAAAACTGATTCGGGAACAGAAGAGAGGTCAATCTGGAGAACGCAATAAATCCATAAACAATAAAGTGGATAAACTACTAAACGCGAGCATAGTTCGAGAATCTTTATTCCCATCCTGGATAGCTAATCCAGTCTTAGTGAAAAAAATATGACGGGCAATGGAGAATGTGTGTTGAAAAGATTGCTACTCGCTTCCAGCAATCGATGAAAACATAGAATCGTTAGATGGACGCAAATGGAAAAGCTTTAGAAACTGTATAAATATTTTTTCATTTAAAAACCATATTTTTGTTTAAAATACAATGTATTTTACATTCAAACCATAATATTACTTATAAATATGCATTAATTATATTATAGCAATAATTTTTTTAATACACAACTTTAATATGAGTTTGGAGGTGTGAATGCACAATCATAAAAACTAATTTGATATCGGAAACATCAAGGTTCAGGGTCGCTTTAATTACCAAGAAACCATTCGTTGTATATATTCATGATTTTTGGTTCTTGGCTTCTTGCAAATATATACTTCTTGATTTGTTGGAAAATTATAACATCCTAATAATACATGAAAAACTCATTTATAATATTATACGGTTATAATATAATTAATACATATTTAGTTTGTTATCTATATAGCTGGCATATCTTAATATGATTGTCTTCTCTATTGTCGAACTACACATTTTAACTATTATACCCTATTTATTATACATTTATATTAAATTTACATGTTTCCAATGTACGTTTATTATTTAGTGAAAATTTTATGTTTCATTTATTTTTTTTATATATACTTCTTGATTCCCATTGTATTCATTCCAACTTTATTTACTTCGGTCAATAACTACATAAAGAATATGGTCCAACATAAATTTCATTAAATGACGAATACAAATCATTTTTATATTTTTTTTGACTAGTTTACCCTAAGTTTAATTTTTGGCTCAAGTTCAATTTTATTTTATTTAACAATTCTAACATACTAAATCTTCAAATTTTAAGATGTTATAATTTTCCAACCCATCAAGAAATATATTATGTTTTAAAAAATACGGTTATAATATAATTAATACATATTTATACATACCATTATGGTTTGAATGTAAAAAACTTTGTATTTATATAAAAAATATGGTTTGAAAACAAAAAAAAAATATTTACACGGTTTCAAATGTAAAAAAATTATTTATACGGTTTCAAATGGAACAAAAAAATGATGTCCAATTTGGAACAAAAACATAGAGTGTCACATCATCAAAATTGAAAAAATAATGATTAATTTAGAAAAAAAAATTATTGTTAAAATTGAAAAAAAATGAAAACTTTATGTCAAAGTTGAGAAAAATGAAAATTTAATGTCTTTTGTGACTTTTTTTTATTTTAAATTTTGATACATCAGCATGTCACGTCATAAAAACAACACGTCATCATTTCACGTTAACACCTGCAACTAAAAAATAAACAAAAAACTCACATATATTTCCTTGTGTTCCATCTATTTCCTTGTTTTCTCTCACATTTTTTGAAGCTTTCTCTCTCTACTTTCTCTTACTAAAAATATGATTTTTTGAATTTTTGGTTGAAATAAACGAAACTCATATTTCTTGAAGTGGAATCTGATATGAAGAATTGAAATCTGGTCTGAAGAAGGTACCCTAGCTGTTGTGAAGCTCGAGGTCGTCGGAGCCACAAAACACCTTAGGATCACCGCCATAAATCACCACCATTCTCCAATTAAGCAAAATGAATTTCAGAAGTGAAAGGAAAAAAACCCACCTTCCTCTACCTTCGATTTCCACCATGTTTTCCTCAAACAAAACCTTCTTCATCATCAATTCCCAAATCTATTGCGCCCTTAATTTCAGTTTTTTGACGAATCTGTACTTCCTCATAAATCAATTTCTCATTAGGGTTTTTCAGGCCACCAGTAGTAGAACATGATGAATTTGGAGGTTGAATACGAAGTTTGAAAATTACCTTCGTCCACTGAAGAATTGCTCTGATGAGCATCAAGGGTTTTTATACGTCACCAGTCTATTTCTCGAACAGATCTGACGACGACGCAACCGAGGAAGATGAATGGTGGAGGCGACGTTCCAGATCGACAACAACATTTTAGATCGTTTTCTGAAAACCGAAGACAACGATGACGATCTAGATCTGAAGAGGGGGAGCGTTTACAAATCACCGAAAAATTGAGGGTTCGTTTGTCTTCGACAAAAATTGATGCTTTTGGGTGGTGGCATTCATCTTTTCTGGTGGAGGTGGTGGTGTTCCGGTGGTTATGTTACCTGTGAGAGAGATGAGAGACGAGAGAGAGAAAATGAGGGTTGGGGAAGGGAGTGGGGTGGGTCCTGGTTTCTATTTGTTTTTTTTCTTAAATTAAAATGTTTTAAAGTAAAAGAAAATTGAAAAAATAAAATACAGAGGGTAAAATCATCATTATAACAAAGTTCAAAGAAAATTTGACAAAAATCGCAACAAAATAAAAAGTTTGGACTTGTGGTGCTAGTCCAAACTTTTTTGGACCAAAGTGACAATTTGGAGCTAACCACATGGATCATTTGTGCAGTTTTGTCTAATAAAATTAGGTCTAAAAGGAAAAAGATGTAAAATGTAGGGTTTTTTTTAGGGAAAAAAACAAAATAATAAATAAAAATTGAGTTTTTATCAAAATGTAAGTTTTTTTTATTGAAAAAACCTTAATTATAATGCAAAGTTCATAGTCTACCTCCTTGTAGAAACCACGATCCAGATCTGCTTTCTGTAGAAGCTTGTACTCCCATGGAGTTCTTTGACGAAGAAAGCAGACCCAGATTCGTCCTTCAATCCCGATCAACCCCAAAAACTACCCCCAAATCCGAAAACCTTGATGATCTCCACAAGCCTGCTCTCTTTGTCTCTCTTTCCCTCTCTGCCCTCCTCCTAACCCTCTCCCTTTTCTACTTCCAATCTGATCCTCTGCAATCCATCTTCATCTGGTTCTCATTATCTCTCCTCGTAGGCCCCTTTGCTCCTCCCTCCCTGACCGCTGGCGACATCCGGGTCGGTCTTGGTCCGGCCATCCAGCCCCAAAGTCCTCGACAAACCCCAGAACCCGAACCATTAAAAAGATCAAGATTCAAGACAAAAAAACCCGATCAAGATTTCATATCGGTCCCGGCTGTCGTCGTGAACGAAACTCCAAAGCCCAGCAACAAGAGCGATTCCAATGTTATTGTGGTGGAAGATAAAGAATGGAGTGAAGGAGATCTGGAGTTGTTGAAGAAGCAGATGGTGAAGAATCCTGTAGGGATGCCAGGGCGGTGGGAGGCGGTGGCGGAGGTGTTTTCTGGGCGCCATAAGGTGGAGAGTGTGGTGAAGATGGCGAAATCGATGGGCGAAAGGAAAATCGGCGACTCAGATTCTTTTTCAAAGTTTTTGAAAGATAGAAAGGCAGTGGACAAGAGGGTTGATGAGGTTATCGAGAATGAAAGGGAGCAGGTCAGTAATGGTGGAAGTTGGAGCTCCGCCGAGGACATAGCTCTGCTCAATGCTTTAAAAGCTTTCCCTAAAGATTCAGCCTTGAGGTGGGAGAAGATCACAGCTGCTGTCCCTGGAAGATCAAAGGCGGCTTGCATGAAGAGGGTTGCTGATCTTAAAAAAGATTTTAGGAGTTCAAAAGTTTCTTCCGAGGCTTAAATCTTAATCAATCAAGAGGTAATTGTTTTATCAATTGAGCATAACATTTGATTCTATAGCAATTTTGAATGGATGATGAGATGTATGAGTGATGTAATTCTATAGCTACTGTTGAAACTATAAAGTTATTAATTTTAAATCTCCATAATATATGTGCTAAAGATCAAATTAGACATGACAGCTTCAATCCATTTCTTTAATTTGGGATCTTGAATCCACAGACGAAATTTGCTTAACTGGGATGGAAATGGAATGCATAACAACAACTACTAGTAAATCAACATAAGGAAGATTGTGAATGGCTTTATGTTTGAGGAGATTGATGGGTCATTGCTTAATTCGTGTATCAAATGCTAGTTGGATGACTATTGATGAAACTTTACGATTGTTAGTAATTTATAACTTACTTTAATATAATGATTTTGTTACCATATAATTTCTTTGTTGGTGTTTATTCAATGACAAATACTGCTCAATGGAAATGACAAAGAGAGCAGCAAAGGGCTTTGCAGAATGTTAGCATGAATGCAGTTAAGCAATTTGATTTGCTTTATGTGTTTTCTGCCAAATAACATACAATTAAGCAATTTGATTTGCTTTATAAAAACCCAATTGACTTTGAGATTGCTATGATAATAGATTATGTGTTGTACGCATTTGGGCCTTTTTCTTTTTTTGCCTTGTTTATCAAGTGGGGTCATTAAAAATCTTTACTGACTCTGTCAAGGTGGTTTGCAATATTTTAATTGATTCTAGCAATATTTACACTGATTATGTCTTTATCAAATGTGTTTTATTGGATTTTTACAATACTTGTCTAGATATTCTGGTGAAACAATCCTTTTAAAAGCCATGCATGATGGATTGATGGTTTAAAAAGTCAATTAGTATCTATTAAACCATCTTTACAATCAGTCATAAAAGAGAAAAATATCCTTTTTAAAAACCGTGGATGATCAAAGTTTCCAAGGATCCAGGGCTACTTGCTATGTTTTTTTTTTGAAAATTCTATATGTATAATATATGGCCAAGTTGTGCATGTATTGTATAGTGTTCTTTTATACACGTTAGATTAAGAATGAGCGTTCTAAGATGCATCGGAACAAATAGTGGGCCCTCCTTATATTCTCCCATAATATATACTAGACGTTTCTAGAATTCGCAAAATCCACATTAATTTTTTTTGTCTTCTTTTCTTCTGAAACAATGAAAACCCCCCAAAGAGGAAAGTTCTCTGAGCGAGGTATGTTCTGACTAATCTTTATTACTTGTGAAAGCCAAAAATGGTGAAAAGTTATGATTTTTTGGTGGCTGTGGCTAATCTGTAGGCATTTTGGGCATTGGTGGTGATGAAGAAATGGTTAAACATTCAGCCACAGTAAATAATGATTTTAGTGAAGATGAAGTTGATACAGCCTCTGAAAGTGAAGATGATAGCTATATGCAGAGTTACAGACATCAAACGCTTAGTAGTTTTTCATCTGGACATTGAAATGTTATGAGTTTCTTTTCATTCAAGTCCGTAAGAAATTTTTATACAGGGATTTTTCTGGGGTTAAAGATATGTCAGTCACAAGTTTTGTTTAGATTTCTTTTGGAAAAATATTAAAAAAGTATGTTTGTTTGATTTCAAAAGTCTGAAGCATACAAAGAAAGGCCTTACTCTCTCTGTCTCTGACTTCTAGTGTTAAAATGTTGTGAAGTTTTAACTAATTATACAACTTGTTATAACATTCATAAAATTCTGATTGAAAGGTTCTTTTTTTTCATCTCAAAAGTCAACGTCTGACCTTCTATATTGCACAAGTAGATAGTCACAAACGATGAGAGTTGATGCATTGAACTTGGATGATTGAAGTTGAAGTATTTGACCCACGAAAGCTACCAAGAGCCCTGAATTTGACTAGTGCACCCCGTGATCATATTATATTAGATGAAGGGCTGGAACTCTGGCACTAGCATAATCAACATTATTAGTTAATTGAATCTTTTTGATGCTTGAACCTTTAGATACTATGAATTATTATAACCAAGTTGAGCTTATAACAAATATTATAACAAATATTATAACAAATAGAAAGTTGTAGGAACCAGTTTCATACTAAAAAATTGTCTGAGAAGTAGTTATTACTTGAAAAGTCAAAGTTTATGTGTACTAAATCGACTCAAATAGGCATAAAACAACTTTTTTTGCTATAAATATAATTGAGCAGAAATGCAAATGTCAGATCATAGACCGACTAGTTAGTTCAGTGTTCAGTTTTTGTGTTTGTGATTGAAGTTGAAGTCTTTGACGGTTTGACCCATGAAAGCTACCAAGACAAGAGCCCTAAATTTGACTAGTGATCGAATCGGTAGAAGAACATTGATTGCTTAAATAATTATATGTATAACAAATCAAATCTTGCATAGCCTATAAACAACCCATATTGATTCCTTTATCACACCACAATTATCTTGTTTTTTCGAGGTATTTTAGATTGTTGTGTTTGGCAAAATATAGAGATGTGTTTTTTAAAAAACTACCCCTGTTAAAGTTTTAGCTAGCTTATTGATTCTCTTATGGCAATAGTGTTTTTTAAATTAACATCTTAAATAATTAGTAAGCGGTGGATGAACGATAGACACAAGATGTCGATATGTCCGAGTGGTTAAGGAGACAGACTTGAAATCTGTTGGGCTTCCGCCGCGCAGGTTCGAACCCTGCTGTCGACGAGATGTATTTTTCGCAAATTTGACAAATTAAATGCTCATTTATGACGCTAATAAATAAACTGTTAAAAAATAAGTTTTATTTAAATATTCTTATTTCAGCTGTTTTTCACGTAAATGTTCTCGGAATAATATCATATGCATTACGAAATTAAGCGGGATAATATCTGAAAAAGGCAATTGTTTCAAAAGTAAAGACAAAATAATTTATACTAATTAGATATTAAATATCTCCACCATTTTCTTTCTATTTATCTTCCTACATTTTCTCTTTTTATTATATATGATATAAAGAATTAAAGATATACATAATCTATTTTTAAATGAAAATTGGGAGTTACCGATAATGTATTGTATACATACTCAATGATGCATTAATATGTTGAGTAAACTCGTTGAAGACTTGAAGTTACTGATATGTTATATATTATATAGATATTTAGTCGATAAATCATTAGACTTAAATTTGTTTAGATTCGATTCATGGATATAGATCCGGTAAGAATTCTTTTTTTGGTAGGAAGGTAAGAAGTTTTTTTTCTATATATTTTTTTGATGGACAAAATAAATGAATCACTAGATGAATAAAAAATAACATGATTCACAAAAAAAAGTTCTAAAAAAACATCTTGGTGATTCATTTATATAATGATTTTGTTGTTATTCACTAAAATTGTCACAAAAGTGAATTTTTTCTTAATTTACCTAAAAATGAATCATAAATATGTTTTTTTTGGGATTTTTTCTTGTAGAAAAAACCTCTTACCTTCCTATCAAAATTTTCCTTCTTATTTGATCTTGACTTTTTATTCATTTATTCAACTCTATTTTCATTGAGTCACCACCATCTTAAACATGCATTCAAGTTACTATATGAATTTAGTCATCTGGGGTTGCAATAAACGTGTTTGTCCAATGCCAATGCCCAAATCTAAGTTGGCATACAAAAAGCAAAAAAGCAACGCGTGTATATATATATATATATATATATATATAGATATATATATATATATATATATATATATATATATATATCTATATAGATCTGGTAAGAAAATTTTTTTGGTAGGAAGGTAAGAAGTTTTTTTTTCTACATATTTTTTTGACGAACAAAATAAATGAATCACTAGATGATTCATTTGTAAGATGATTCACAAGAAAAATTCCCAAAAAAACATCTTTATGATTCATTTTAAAGTAATTAAGAAAAATTCATTTTTATGACAATTTTAATGAATAACAACAAATCATTGTATAAATGAATCATCGTGATGTTTTTTTGAGAATTTTTTCTTGTGAATCATCTTACAAATGAATCATCTAATGATTCATTTGTTTGTTCGCGAAAAAATATGTAGAAAAAAAACTTCTTACCTTCCTACCAAAAATTTCCTTCTTATTTGATCTTGACTATATATATATATATATATATATATATATATATATATATATTATATATAGAGATATATATATATATATATATATATATATATATATATATATATATATATATAGGGAAATGATCAAATGACAACACCAAAAAGGTTGAGAACGCGAGAACACTTCTGGACCAATCATTTTACAATGATATATTTAGTAATTGCATATTTAATTTAAATTATAACAAATCTTAATCTCCTAAATTTTAGCAATATTAATTACAGTTACTTAAATTAATAGATTAACCAATTTTTATTTTATTTTTTTTATTAATTTATGACAAAAATAATTTTTATTAATTTTTTGTTAAAAAAGTCATTTTTTTTAATTTATCATTCATCAGATATTATATGTATAAAGATTGAAAAAACATTTTTTCTTTTGTATTCATAAATGAACGAAAACATACATTAAATTATTTTTTTTTAAGAAATTTATTTGATTTGATTATGTTAATTGTGAATGATTATACGTAACAATAAAAGATGGAATGAGTAAAGCACCATCCAAAAAACAAAACTAAAAAAAAAACTCAATTCAATCGTAATCATAAACGTATAAAGTACATTTACAAATATAGAAAACCAATACATCTGGAATCATTAATGAATAAAGGAAAATGTAAAGATGAAAAAAAATCTACTTTAGTTGTAATCACAAATGACTGAAAAAGATAAAAAAAATCTAATTTGATGCGATTTTTCTTGTTTCTACCAGCACACACAAAAACAAAGAAGGACACATGTGATCATTGTTATTCTTGGGTTCACACCTGCAAAATCAAGTTCAAGGATAATTAAAAAAAATCAGATAATAACGTTTGTGTATACATCTTCACATTCACAGATGAATGTATGTTTGTCTTTTGATGGCAGAGAAAGGAAAAAAACTTTTTTAGTTTTTACCATAAACCTTATAATGAATAAAGATTTATTCATGTATGATGATAACTAAAATCATGTATGATGATAACTATAATCATGTATTAACACTGATGAATAAATTGAATAGAGCTGAAAATCATAAATAATTAATACTGATGAAATAAAATCTATTAGTTTTTATCTCCATTTCATAATCATTAGTGAATTTTAACATATTCATAATTAAATAGGATTGAAAAAAAAATATAAAGTCTACCTTTTTTAATATCTTGATTTGGATCATTTTCATTTGAATCTTTAACAATAACAAGATTCAGAAGCTTGTAACGATTAAGGAGTATGGAGTTGAATCTAATGAGCTATTATAACCTCTTGGTTCAATCAAATTGGGACGATGAACTTTCCCTGAAATAAATGAGCGACATAATTAAAAATTACAAAACAAAAATCATGATCAATTTATGAGGGATAAACTAATCACACGTATTCAAACATAGTCATTGAAGCATTTGGTCGAACAGGTGTTGTGCCAAGAATAGTGCACATATATTCCTTTGATTCACCTGCCTCTTCTTCTTCTTCTTCTTCTTCAATGATTCAATGATTCAATTCTCTCCCTGAAATCTTCAACATGCATCAAATAAAAAGTTTCAAGATATCCTTCAAGAAGCTTTCATTAATCCGTTCAACATTCAAGGAAAACTTTACATCGGAATCCTTCCAGGCATGAATTCAACCCATTTCCCCATATCTCTCTAAACCCAAGTTCATATCGTTTCTTATAATGATGGGAATTAATTAGGTGTGGAATCGCGACTTGCGATACTAACCCTAGATACAAACGATCTGAATAGAATTGCAAAAATTGATAACCCTACCTTGATCGCAAGTGGGCCTTTCAAACCCTGATTGGTCGCTTGCAGCAGCAGCCGCACAAAGAGGCTGCCGGAATCAAGGTGATTGACAATTTTGAACAAGTGATGCCCTGAAAATCGATTCAACACCTCGAGCATCTTGATCTTCTCCATTCATCGAGACCTTCACAGTAGCACATATAAGAAAAATTGGGAACAATCCTTTCTGATTAAAATCGATTTGCAAGTCTGGAATCTCAAGATGAAGGTTGTGATGATGGTTTTGGAAGTGTATGGTGGTGACGGCTCAATTAGGGTTTAAAGGTTTGAAATTTGTATTTAGAGAGCGAGAGGAAGAAGGATACGTAAGTGAGAGATACATAGAGAGGGGGATAGAGAGATTCCAGCAACTTGACAAAAATAGGTGAACATGTAATGACCTTATTACCCTTTAGACTTTTAGAAAGTTACAATCTCATCCCATGACTTTTAGAAAGTTACAATTTCATCTCATGACTTTTATAAATTATATTAGTCTTAGATCGTAATATTTGAAGAGCTTAGATCTGTTCTCGCGTTCTCAACCTTTTTGGTGTTCTCATTTGATCCTACTCCTATATATATATATATATATATATATATATATATATATATATATATATATATATTCCAAATCAAAATAAATAATACTAACAAATAATATATGTAAGTAAAATTTATTGAACTGTTTTTAAAGAATAAAAAAATAATTTAAATACAAACAAACAGAAA